AGTCTCGATACTTTTGACAACCCTAGTATATACTGTATTTCTTTAAAGTTAAGACTATTTTAATTATCTTCATTGAAAAGTATAGTGCTTTTCCTTTAAAAATAAGGACATTTCAATGTGACTCCAAACTTTTGAACGGTAGTGTATATATATCTTATATACGTATTTATATAATAGTTGTCCAAATTGTTCTTAAGTCCTGAAATCTGTACACGTTGTTCATTGAGTGACTATTCCTCTCTTAAAAAGAACGACAATTATTAAAAGCCAAAACTGTATATGATGCTCATGTCCACAATAATGTGTGTAAACTTTTACCTCGAATTTTGTGATTTGTGGAGACTGAGCCTTACCTTGGCCGGAGTCTCCCTGGCAGTTTCTGAGTCTGACCAGCGATGTTTGAGTTGGGAGGAGCTCGGCACACATTCACAGAACGTCTGCGTGAGACAAACAGACAGGGCCACCAGTGTTGGTGTTTGTTCAAGTTACATGTGCATTCAGCCATGCAAGCACATGCACACAAACACACAAGTGTGCACATGCATAAAAAGGGACATATGCATGCCTGTACAAATATCCAAACTGGGACACCAATTTTGGATAAGCACTGAAATGGCTGAAAAAATGAAAGTGTTGCATGCATTTCGAGAGCCAAGCAATCACATCTAATCTAAAATTGTTGTTCAGCAATAAAAGCTGTTCAGTATGATAAAATACAGTCGCCTACACACAAATATGTGCAGACAGAAAGACCCAACAGGCATCCTCGTCATGCATGACTGAATTCAATTGTTTATGAAAGGGGATTCAAAATATTTCCTCATCTATAAAATTAAAGGACTAAAGGACAGTTGGAGGAGTGTTAGTGTGCAAGCAATTGTTCACAGATACAGCTGAATGTGGGCGGTAGTCCGCTATAGCTAAATATTACACCCTACAGTATACAAGCCTATTTGAGCTTTATGTGTGCATTTGTCTGGAAATCATTTTACGTGCGGTACAGATAAAAGCATCGTAATTATGAAAGCAGCAGCTTTCTGACAGAGCTATGGGAGCATGTTGCTCTATGACCTTAAACAGTACTGCTCCCACGATCGAATTGCTCAATTAACCTGGGACAACAAAACCAACACTGAAGAGTATACATACAAACTAACTACTTGAGAAGAGATAAAAAAAATAAAAGCAATAACAGAATAGGAGTTTGTTGTTTAGCTTGGGGTACGAAACTTGCATATATTGCTTTATACAACATATAATGCCAAGTGTTCAGAGCCCTTGAACTTATTTCACATTTGGTCACATTAAAAACATACATTTTAATTGCAATTAGTCGAGATTTTATGTGATACACCTAGGGACCGCATTAGATAATTGTGAAATGGTACAATAGAGATACATGAAGAAAAGATCCAAAAAGATCTGAAGAACGTGCATACAAAAACCTAAATAGACCAAGCGACTGCATTGAGATTCAGAAGTTACTTTATCTCAGAGCTTTGAACTACCTTGCACTACCTTGCAGTTTTTGAAAGAAAGTAACTGTTTCAAAACACAGCAATATACAGTAGTTAAGAAAACAATGTTACAAGCTTAATACATCAGACAGGGCCCTGTTCAAATCCTTACTCTAATATTTTAACTGTGGTAGAGCTACAAAGATCAATAACTCTTATTTTTGAAATGACAAGTTATTAGTCATACTATACAGAAACCTATCCTTTTCCATCAAAAGGCAAAAAAAAAACTGCAGTTGTGGAAAGTAACCCATGAGAATTTCTATTTGCACTTTTCAAGTTTCAAGTGCAAAAAAAATAGACATATTTGAGAGTTAAGAGAGCCTCTTTCCCTCGGAAATCATTTTCCAAATTTTCAATTTATCTTTTATTTTTTCCTATGATACCTTTTTTTCTCTCAAACTTTTTCTTCCGTCTTAAAAAACTTTGCAATCACAATGAAAATTTGTTCTCTACAATATATCTATTTACTTTCAAAATGACTTTTCACTTTCAGTTTTTTTTCTTGAATTTAATAAAAATACAAAAATAACTCCATATAGTCACAGCACACAGTATGTAGTCTATAAGTTAGACTACAAGGGCCACATCGCTTCTCAAATTGCAAAGAATTTACTTCCAAATTAACAACTTGAAGATATAAGAAGGAACTGTTAAGCTTATGTATTTGTACATTTAAATTGCTGACTCTATGAGTAACCTCTGCAGAAACAGACTCTGTTCTGCTACACCATCAATAATTTGATCATTCTCTAGGCATCTTTAGTACATCTTTATAGTCAACAAGTCAGAAATGTTAAAAGGATTGCTGCACTTGCGTGGAGGGCTGTCTCTTTTTATCTGTTGTTTACTGCCAATAAGCAAAAAATCTAAAAATACAGGATTTAATATCTCTCATGGCGTCAGTGATTGACAGGTAATGTTCCGTGGATGAATACCATGACCATCAGTAGCTCCAGCACTGTGCATCTCATTATAAGAACCACAGAGGCTTTTTCTTTTCTTTAGCCTGGGCTTTATGGGAAACATTTCTGAAATCTGTGTGGCTCACCGTCTACCAGCCATCGCACTCTTGAAAAAGTCTACTTTTCGCATGAACAGATCAGCCTAACTGAAGCAAGGAGAGGAAGAGAGGGTGTGTTTGCTCCACTTCTCTATAAGACATCAGGATGACAAGGAGGTTGAGGGAAACAGGACCTCCATGGTCCAAACCACCAGCCCACTGGGAAAATCACATTCAATATACGACTGTCTGTGTTTTCTCTTTTTCTCTATCATGACACAAATCAGACAACCCTGTTAATCATCAACAAGCTGACCAGGCAGACTTATCGATTCAGAGGGTCTTGTGAATTATTGTTGAATTGTGAAAAAAAAGACTGTAATTAATAAATTAATCAATATTTTACTCACCCCTATTCAGAATTATGTTTGACTATCACATAATACACATCCCAGTGTCATTCAATTATGTTGTATTGTAAAAAAAACAAAAACATAGGCAAAAAGTCAAGCAGAAGGAATTGCTGTATCCAGTCAGTTACTGTCACCATTTATGTTACCAAGTACTAAACAGTAATTAAAATAGTAAACTTTTTTTTTTTATCTTCAGACATTTTCTATCTTCTTTTTGCCACACAAAAAGAAGTTCTTCAAAGTTGTTAAAGTTCATGTTTGCACAATTGTATAGATTGTGGGATACAAACATACATCCATTATTTTCTTACAGTAAAGTAATCTCTGGGAGTTATCTCTGAAAGTGGCAGCGGCATCTAAAAAAAAAAATTATACAGCATTAAAGCGAAGATCAAAGTATTTCAGCTGCATTGTTATCATTTGGTGTGCATTACGTTGTTCAAGAAGATAAAAAGGAGCCGCAGGTCTAAGTAATTACACCTACTACTAGTACTAACTACAGCTTGGCAGGCTGATTTTTAATTATCAGTTGGACCCATTATGGTTTGAATATTTGTATCAGGCTTTTCTATGTGGCGTTTGGATGCATTGCTAACGTAGGATAAGATAGATTGTAACATGTTGTACACAGCATCCATCTTGAAAGGCTCCTGTTGAAAGTGTTCATAAACGGGAGGGACATTAAAATTCTTTGAGCTCATTTGGTTAATCATTAAGGTGCATCTGCCTCCCATGACGAGTTTTTAAGCAATCCGAGCAGCAGCATTAGCAGCAGTGACATACAGTATTTCATTCTTGATTCGTCTAAACATCGTTTCCATTCACAGATGCAAATATTGCGTAAAAAAAAGAAAGCAAAAGGTTATTTCATCTAAAACAGACTGTACCTCCACCGGCACAGCCCTGTTTGTTTTGCCTCATCCTGCTTCTTCTTGTTGACATCATAAACATCACTGATTTTCATTGGTTCGAAACATATCTGTATCAAGGCTAATATATCTATTGGCTTCTGGCAAGATGTATGTTCACAAATCTCGCACAATAATCTTGCTAGCAAGGTAAATGCATTGAGGTCTTTCTCTAAATACTAAAGTCCCTGCTTACAATCCCACAGGACTGCTACATGCAAACAGATCCTTCTCAGATTGTGTGAGTAAGTATCAATGACTGTATTCTTGCATCTTGTGGTATCTGTGCTGGCATGATGATGGGCTCTTAACCAGTCAAGAGAATATATTACATCTCTCATCGTGGCCATTATTAGCAGAAAAAGTCAGACAGGCAAAGAAAAGCATTGATTAGTTTACACTCAGGTCATCTGTTGGTTCTGGTACATCAAGGTTCTCATTACACTTTGCTTACCAAGATTTCAGTTGTTTTTTTACTTTAGTAGGTATATTCAACTTGGACCACTAAAAAATGCATCTGGATTATTTAAGGATTCCTCAGTAATGAATTGCTTTACTCTACACCTGAACTAGTAAGTCTACTGTATATCTAATATGACTTGTGAGTTTTACTCCCTTAAGACAGCGCATCCCCATTTAAGGGGGCTGGAGCTATTTTACAACAATAATAATGTAGCTGACTAACTCTGAGACTGTCCACATTTTAATCTGAAACTTTTTAAAACACTATTTACTACTACTTAATTTTAATATCTGCCCACTTGAGCTACCACAACATGCCAAAAAGCACTCAGGTAGCCAAAATGCAATTTATGACCCCGTTTTTGTTTTGGTGGGACTCGTCAACAACGCATGTAGCAGCGCTGAATGATGTAATAAAAGCCAACAGGACTGTGAAGCGGCTGACATCAAATTCTTTAGCAAAACTGATCATTTGCAGCTGACCACTCAAAAGTCCGTCAAAAACAACATCAAATGATACCAAAATTGAACTTTTTCCAACTATATGCTAAAAAATTTTTAAACTAGACAGTGGCAGTATCATGTTCTGAGACTGATTTTATTTAGCAAGGACGAGTTGAAAGGGTGAGAGGGTCAGACGTAAAGGAATAAATTATTTAATTGATATAGGGAAAACAAAAATTTGTCAAAAGCTAAAAAGGATGCACAAACCCCATTTTTTGTATTGTCTTTCAGTAGAATAATGAGCTTAAAATAAATCACACAGATCAATGTAAATGTAGTTTTATATGTAATGACTTCATATTTAATGCCCACACAGCAATGCCACATTATGTTATTTTATAACTTTTTATTCACCCCTCCGCCCAAGTGGAGGTGACAAATATGTTATTTAACCATATAATGTTTGGAATGTCATATTGTTCTGTGAACACAAGCTAAACTGGCTGTGTGTTATGACAACAAATAAAAGTGCATCAAGCAGAAATAATGATTAGTTACCTCTGCACACATATTGAATACATTTACAAAATCCTTTCATTACATATTAATTGACAAAAATCATTATACTCCAAGTCAAACATATTTCAGTTAAAAAATCTTGACTAGTGAACTCAACCAGCTAAGCTACAA